AAAGGTTACCAGAAGTCTAGTCGGGGACTGTGACTACGACTGTAATGCGAAGTTCTCAAGCGGGAACTCCAGAGTCTGAAGGTGTAATGTAATCTGCCTTGTGAGAGGGTTGGCCTATGTTTAAATAGTAACTGTCTGGTGGGATTGGGAGTTCTCATAGTAATCGTTTTCCCCTAGGGGTGTACCCTTTGGCCCCCTTATCCTGGCGTGAAAAGGAGTCCGAGTATGATTCGGATACGGATGTTGGAGGAGTTAGGGTAGTGGTGGACTACCTTATCAGAGTTCGAGTAGGAATGTGATCCATAGGTGACCGTGGGCTCTGAATTCAACAATAGGCCCAGAAGGTATGCTGGGATCAGCAGGCTTGGGTCCAGATGGACAGACTATACTTCATATCGAATAGGCCTCATCTGGGGAATTCTGGCTTGGGCCACATCGGGATTGGGCCTAGGCTTTTCCTGTTTGTCAGATGTGTTATCCTATTTGGGCCGAGGACCTTTTTTGGCCCTAACACTACTCTTACAAAGGTTACATACAAAGTGACGCAAAAATATCTATTAATTGACACATCATTTATCTTTATTTAATGAGTTGACTTTATATTTTCACTATTCCAATTAATTTGTGACACATCATTTTGTATACAAGACTTTGTATATACATTTTGTAACAGTTGTATTACTCGTTTTAGTCTTTAAGAAGAGGTTTAAAGTATTTTCTATAAAGAAAAAATTAATTTATAAAAAAGCATCTTATGCAGAACTCATAGAGTCTTATATATTAAAGCAAATACATATTATGTATGGTAAATTATATATATTTTGTTGTGTTCATTATGCAAATATATATGGAGAGAAAAAGAGTGAAGTTATAAATTTATTTGGAGCTTGAGCCAAAAAAAAAAAAGTGACTTCAATAAAATGAAAAGTTAAATGGGTGATATGTCAAAACCCACCAACTTAGAGGAATTTTGGATACTTCCTTATCTAGAGGAGCTATGTCGCTCCGTTCCTGGATGTCTAAAACAATGCCTAGTCCTACTGCAATGTTGGTTCCGCATTGTTATAGGCATGTTTCGCTGTGCCGTCAATTTCATTTTATCGATATTATAGTAATTTTCTTTTAACATCATTTTAAGGTAGAATACATAAAGGGATATTTTATCTCCCAAGATTCAATAATATATCTTCTGGGGATAAACACGCTTGAATACATGCACTTGAAATGCCTAAATTCTTGGAATCAAGCATGCATTTGGCATGATTTTGCTTGTACAGACAGGAAAACTATTATATAATTAGCAAATAAAATTTCTATAACCTGTTTTCATTATAAAACACAAAATAACATCAAGTCTTCATAGGTAGGAAGACCTTAAATCCTAATCCTGGAAGTCCTAAATAGATTTTGTTAGGCACCAACCGAGAAACTTCAATCAATTTTATACATACACTGCGGATCCAATAGTTAATATGCACCCAAATTTCTTATGATCCAATGTCACTCTCTTGTCATACATATCATAATAGAATCTCAAAGAGAGCCAAACTCCATAAACATAAGTGCTTGGCATTTCAATTAGAGTGGTGATATCATACTTATACAAACTCTTAACAGACTCTTTTATTGTCACATCATTCATCTATATAATTAGTGTTTTATGAGTTGGTCTACAAATTCTTTTATTCACTTTACATCACATTAGTTTTGTATGAACAAATTTTGTATAAGAGTTTATACATTTAGTATTATTCTTCCATTAATGAGTCAAAGTCAAAAAATTATAAAGGAAAATTTTTCAAAGTCAATTGAATCATTCTTGGGACACAAGTTCCACAAAATTGTTGGCGTTTCAAACTTTCAATCAAGAGTGGTCAATTCCATTGTGAACGCTTACCAAATTTTTCCAACCTAGGCCCTTGCAGATGCCTTTTCATTCCTAGAGAATTCTGCCACAAACTGACTTGACCATCAGGCTATCCATATAGCGAATGAGTATTCACGGTTCACAATATTTCCCATGTTTTTTTTTTTTTTTTTTTTTAATAAGTGAAGGAAACTCAGTGATGAAGACCTTTGAAGAATCTCGACTTCCCATATTTCTTTCAGCTGAATGACCCGAACATGAAGTTTTGCAGAAGTAATGACTTATTATAACGTAAAATAACTTGAAGTTGGCAATGGACAGGATTTTAAAAAGGTTTCGCCAATTGCTATGTAGCACTCTATGAGTACGTAATTGGGGCCGGAGTACTGCTGAGCCATCAAATGAACTGACTGGACCCCTTCCTCTCATCACTAACATTTCCTCTTTCTTGGATTTTACTAGCAAAGGGTTCCAGAATTCCTGGGGTATAATGTGACTCTGCATCATAAATTATAATGTCAATGTCGGTGCTTTCTTCAGTGTAATTTCATAGTCCAGAATTTGGGTAGACGTCCTACTTTCTTTTTTCTTTTTTTCGAGTCTTTTGTATCAACATCAGTAAGAAAATATTCATCATATTAACAGTAAAAATAAATACTTTTTTTTCTTCGATTTAAACCAAATAAAAAGTAAAAATCATTATAATCAACATGTAAGTGTTAAAATAGTTAAAAGACGGAACAAATGTGGGTTAGCTAAAATCCGTAAGGAGGTTGTTTAATAAGTTTCCAGAAAAATGTAAATGTTAATAGTAAAGGGATGCAAATGATGATATTTTATGTTTAAATTTTAACAAGAACTGGCATTGGTTTATGTTATAAAAAATCTAGTTCGAAGTCTTAAATTAGTGGCAAATGTAAATCAAAAGTAAACCAGTTTCGTGGAAACAAAAAATAAACCAGTTTCGTGGAAACAAAAAATATAGTTGGGGGAAAAAAAAAAAAAAAAAAAAAGAAGAAAGTGAACTACCATAAAGACAGTCTGAAAATCCTGACTGCTTCTTGAAGGTGAAACACATGAAGACGTAACGTTTGGTGTAAAGAGAACGAAACCCATGCACAAAGTCTGTAAAGAATCTGTGAAAATGAAGGTAGAGGACAATGAAAGAACTTATAATTCAATCGGCCTCTCTATTACCTGGAATCCAAGAAAATGGGTATCAATTGGGTATTTCAGGTTGGATATAAATCTGGTGTAATAATGGCTAATAATTATTAGTCCCTACGGTTTATGGAAAATACATTTAAAACTTAAATTCTTAATTTTCAAATTAAAAATATAAAAAATAAAAATCACCGCCTATCAAATATGAGTGTAAGTTTAGATATTTGAGTCTTGAGCTAGCTTTTGAGCGTAAACTCTACTCACCGTCTATCAGTCTAATATTCTTATGTTTTTTTTTTTTTTTTTTTTAATGAAAGGAAACACAGTGATGTAAGGACCTTTGAAGAGATCTCGACTTCCCATATTTCTTTCAGCTGAATGACCCAAGCATGAAGTTTTGCAGAAGTAATGAATTATTATAACGTAAAGTAGACTTGAAGTTGGCAATTGGACAGGAATTTAAAAAGGTTTCGCCAATTGCTATGTAGCACTCTATGAGTACGTAATTGGGGCCGGAGTAATGCTGAGCCATCAAATGAACTGACTGGACCCCTTCCTTTCATCACTAACATTTCCTCTTTCTTGGATTTTACCAGCAAATGGTTCCAGATTTCCTGGGGTATAATGTGACTCTGCATCATAAATTATAATGTCAATGTCGGTGCTTTCTTCAGTGTAATTTCGTAGCCCTGAATTTGGGTAGACGTCCTACTTTCTTTTTCCTTTTTCTTTTTTTCAAGTCTGTGTATCAACATCAGTATAGAAAAATACATCATTTAACAGTTAAATTAAATATTTTTTTTCTCGATTTAAACCAAATAGAAAGTTAAAATATTTTTAATAACAAATGTACTTTAATAAATAGTTAAAGACCGGAAAAAATGGGTACGCTAATCCATAGGAGGTTGGTTTAACATGATATTTGATGTTAAATTTTAACAAGAACTGGGCATTGGTTATGTTGGAAAATTAGTTCAAAGTGTACATTAATGGCAAACGTAAAATCAAGGTAAAAGAGAAAGTGAACTGCCATAAATAGGAGAAAAAGAAATCATTATCAAAGTAAAAGGAGAGGAAACCTAGGGAAGAAATAAGAAAAAGAGAAGGAATTGGAGAGGAAAAGGATGAGGATGATATAATTATTCATAATTTGTTTCTGCATTGTGACAATTAATTTCTGAGAGGAGACTTGATAAGTTAAAGTGCATGGTTTATTATTTATTCTTATGAAAATCCTGATGCTTGCTGGAGGTGAACACTATATATAACAGAATCAATGGGAAAGCCTCTTGGAAAATCATGCTGAGGACATACATTTGGGTGTAAAGGGAGGAAACCCATGCACAAAGTCTTAAAAGAATCTGTGAAAATGAAGGTAGGGACATGAAAGAACTTATAATTCAATCGGCCTCTCCATTACCTGGAATCCGAAAATGGGTGGATATAAATTTGGTGTAATAATGGCTAATAATATTCGCCCCTACGGTTTATGGAAAGTACATTTAAAAATTAAATTTTAATTTTCAAATTAAAATATAAAAAATAAAAATCCGAATTTGAGTTTGTGAACTTCCAGAAATTAAGTTCAAAACTTTAAGTTTTTTGGGATAGTCGTGTGCCTGAAAATTGAATTCAAAATTTAACGCACACGGACTTCATGATACCGTAGTAAGTAAGGACTACATTTTAGGTAGTTTTTTTCCTGACCTTCAATTTTCATAGGAATAACATGAAAAAAACACGTTTCTACGAAGATACTAAATATTTCTAGGAAAAGATATGTAATTACTAGTTATTATAAATAGATGAACTCTAGATACATATTCTCACCTAAGACGTTTCTACTTAAGTAAAAGTACCTTGATGTCTATGTTATTTCTTAATTTTTCATGATTGATTTGTTGTTACCTTCTCAATCCATTATTTTGTTCAACCAATTTATTTTTGTTCATCCAATTTACACCATTCCGGAACTTTTCAACCCTCCATTACCATGTCTTTGAGGTTTCGAAAACCCAACGAACCAGAAATATGTGACCATGAACATAGTCTCTTGGCTCTGGCAAAACTACAAAAAAGAAGGTGGCGATTGGCTTTTGATGTCATTCGCTTCACCAGGGCTCTTGCTTCTTTGTCTAAGATAGCTCTAGACAGCAACAAACAAATCTTGCGGTCCCTCTCTTATGTTGCCATTGATATCGGTAGAGCATTGCCACATGATGACGCTGGAGTTAATTTTCTCGACATTGATCAGAAGATACTCACTACCATGGTGAAACAGAAGAACTTCGAATCTTTGAGTAATCTTGGAGGAGTGAAGCAAGTTGCTGCAATTCTTGGAACCGACGAAAAGAATGGTGTCCCAGGTAATGAGGCTCAACTTCTGCATAGAACGAATGTTTTTGGTAAAAACTGTTATAAAAAGCCAGATGCAAAAAGCTTTCTTAGTTTTGTTTATGAAGCATTAAAAGATACTACCATTATCATACTTCTAGTCTGTGCAATACTTTCTCTAGCCTTCGGAATTAAAGAAGATGGCTTGAAAGAAGGGTGGTATGATGGCAGCAGTATTATATTTGCTGTGTTTTTGATTGTAATTGTCTCTGCCGTGAGTAACTTCAAGCAAAATAGACAATTTGAAAAGCTTTCTGATGAGAGTGGTGACATAAAAGTTGAAGTAGTGAGAGATGGCAGGCGTCAAGCCGCGTCAATCTTTGAAGTTGTAGTGGGTGATACTGTGTGTTTGAAGATCGGCGATCAAATTCTAACTGATGGGTTGTTCTTGAATGGTTACTCCTTGAAGGTGGACGAATCTAGCATGACTGGTGAAAGTGACCATGTTGAGATCAATGGCAGAGAGAATCCTTTCTTGCTTTCTGGCACAAAGGTCACAGATGGTTATGGTTCTATGCTCTTCACTTCTGTGGGTATGAAAACGGCATGGGGAGAGATGATGAGTTCTATTAGCCGTGACTTGGATGAGCAGACTCCACTGCAAGTTCGCCTCAAAAAGATGACTTCCTATATCGGAAAGATTGGATTGACAGTAGCTGTGATGGTCCTTCTTGTTATGTTGATTTGTTACTTCACAGGCAACACCACAGATGAAAGAGGAGATAGAGAATTCAACTGCGACAAGTCAGATGAAGAGAGGATGGCGAAGATCGATAAAATCAGTGTAATGGCAAGATCCTCCCCTTTTGACAAGCTTTTGATGGTACAGTGCTTGAAGCAAAAAGGTCATGTGGTAGCTGTTACAGGAGATGGGACAAATGATGCACCTGCTCTTAAGGAAGCTGACATTGGGCTCTCCATGGGGATCCAAGGCACTGAAGTTGCAAAGGAAAGCTCAGACATAATCATCTTGGATGATAACTTTTCCTCTATGGTGACTGTTTTGAGGTGGGGAAGGTGTGACTACAACAACATTCAAAAGTTCATCCAGTTTCAGCTCACAGTGAATGTTGTAGCCCTTGTCATCAATTTTATTGCAGCAGTTTCTTCTGGTGATGTTCCGTTGACTGCTGTCCAGTTGTTGTGGGTGAATCTAATTATGGACACCTTGGGAGCTTTAGCATTGGCTACCGAACAACCCACCAACCAACTTATGACCAAACCACCTGTGGGCCGATCTGCGCCTCTCATAACCAAGGTCATGTGGAGGAACCTTGTTGCTCAGGCTTTGTATCAAGTAATTGTGCTATTAATTCTGCAGTTCAATGGAAGATCCATCTTCAGCGTGGACGAGAAGATAAAGAACACCCTGATATTCAACACATTTGTCTTCTGCCAGATCTTCAATGAGTTTAATGCAAGGATTCTGGAGGAGAAGAATATATTCAAGGGACTACACAAGAACAAACTCTTTATTGGGATTGTTGGGACTACACTAATTCTGCAAGTCTTGATGGTGGAGTTTCTGAATAATTTTGCCAATACTAAGAGGCTGAATTTGGAGCAATGGGGTGTTTGTGTTTGCATTGCTGCTATGTCCTGGTTGATTGGTTGGCTCGTGAAGTGGATTCCGGTTTCTGCAAAATAATTTCTCTTCTTTTCCAAGCAAGGAGCATCTGCAAATTGAACAATTTATTATTGTCACAGCCTGAATTATTATTGGCAAACAGTTTCTCATCTTTGCTCGTGAAGTGTACTCAAAAAGTAATGTATTTATTTTGCTGTTTCAACTTACATTTCAATAAATGTACTCGCTTTCAGGGTATTATTATAGGACATATTTCCCTGGACTTTTAATGTTAAATTTGAATACTATTTCAATCCCAGACAGGCATCCAATATCTATATCAGGATCACCAATACACGAATGCATCATAAGTTCTTCCAGACTCGAATATATCATCTGGTGGGTGCTTTTCACAAACATAATCTGCTCAATAACTAATTTCACACTCAATTTACTGAAACATATGATTAACCAAATACAAGTACTACTCAGGCCGAAATAATGACAAACAAAAAATAGAATAAAATGCATACAAAAAATTGTTGATTAATTAGAAATTAGGTTCTGATATACAAAGTCACAGTAGAAATTGTGTAATCAAGATATACAAAGTTTTGTACGTACCACTAGATTTGGTGTTTCAGTCTCTACTATCAACAAAACAAGAGCAAATAATGCTACCATAGCTCATATCTCTGACCGAGACACAAAGGGATGAGCAATAACACTACGGACACCGAAATATTAGCACCGAATTTCTGTACCGATCTACGTATAACACATCGGTCTATTTTTTTATAATTTTTTTCTAGTGAACGGCCGTCCATCAAATTTGGACGGTCGTTCACTCACATGGATGCCCGTCCATGTTATATGGACGGGCATCCATATGCGAGAGACAACCGTCCATATAATATGGACGCCCGTCCCAATTAAAATAAAATAAAAAAATTTGTAAAAGCTTAGGGACGGCCGTTCATCTATTATGGACGGCCGTCTATTAATTTTGGACGGGCGTCCATATTCGAGGGACGGCCGTCCATATAATATGGACGCCCGTCCCTATTAAAATAAAATAAAAAAATTTGTAAAAGCTTAGGGACGGTTGTCCATCTATTATGGACAGCTGTTCGTTAATTTTGGACGGGCGTCCATATTCGAGGGACGGCCGTCCATATAATATGGACGCCCGTCCCTATTAAAATAAAATAAAAAAAATTGTAGGGACGGCCGTCCATCCATTATGGACGGCCGTCCATTAATTTTGGACGGACGTCCACAAATAATGGACGCTCATCCTTCACCTAAATATGAAAAAAAAAAAAAATTCTTTAGGGATGCCCGTCTACCAATTGTGGACGGCCGTCCCTTAATTTTGGACGGGCGTCCAAAGTTAATCTTTTACAAATCTTAAAAAAAACGATTACAAATCTTCTTCTTCTTCGCTCCACTCCATCCCTGTAACACCTCAAATCCACTAAAGGTTATTTTTGTTTTGTTTATGCTGTAATTCAGTGGGAGGAACCCATAATTAGAATCGGAAAAACTTACCCCAATAGAAGAAAAACCCATAAGCGAAGAGCTCTATATAGATCTGCAAATAAACACTTTTTCTCTGAAATGAAAGCTGAATAAGAATCAAATTCTATGAAATAAAGATCAGAAATAACAAAATCTCATAAGAATAAACGTCATCAAAATAATAAAAAACATATAAATATAAAGTTCACAACTTTCTCTTAATCTCTCTGTATCTTTCTTCTTCTTGTCTTTTGCCAGTTATGGGCAAATGGGAAGACAAAGACTTTAAAGTTGTTCTTCTTAGTTGAAAATGTTTTAAACTTACAGTGAACTTCAGTCTATCTCTTGTAGTCTGTTTCATCTGTATTTTTGTTTTGTTTATGCTGTAATTCAGTGGGAGGATTAGGATTGCTGCAAAATGGATTTGAGGTGTTACAGGGATGGAGTGGAGCGAAGAAGAAGAATAGCGAAGAAAGTGTTTTTTTTTTTTTTAAAAGTATGGACGGGCGTCCATTAGGAATGGACACCCATCCAAACTTAAGGGACGGGCGTCCATTCCTAATGGACGACCGTCCAAACGTAAGGGACGGCCGTCCAAAATTTATGGACGTCCCCAAATTTTTATTTTTTTTTATTTTCACATTTTTGTTAAGGACGGGCATCCCTTATTTGTGGACGCCCGTCCAAAATTAAGGGACGGTCGTCCATAATGGATAAACGGTCGTCCCTAATTTTTATAAAAAAAAAATTATTTCATTTTACTTATCCATTAAATAGGGACGCCCGTCCCTGATATATAGACCCCGTCCATATAATATGGACGGGCGTCCATGTGAGTGAATGGTCGTCCAAATTTAATAGACGGCCGTTTACTCGAAAAAAATTGTTAAAAAAATCAGAAGTGTGTTACACATAGGTCGGTATAATATTTTGATGCAAAAATTCCGGTGTCGATAGCATTATTGGAGGGATGAGTGGTGCTTTTGAGTTTCGACTTCGGCTTTTCTTGCAGATATTAAATAATAGCTTTTCTTGTAATAGTCTGAAACCAACCACTACATAAAAGGGTGCTAAAATAAGCACAGTTGTCATATTTCCTCCCCATCAATTATCAATCATCAAGTTTTTTCTTTCATATTGTCCTTTTGTTTAGCTCAACTTTTGTGAGTACTCTTTTAATAATTTTTTTTTGAGTCAACGACATGTTCCAGCCCAAGGTTTGGTGAAATTATTTGTTACCACCATAGTTTCATAAATTTCATATTCACACCCTAAAATTAACATAAAGTCATTTAGGTAAAATGAAGAATTTTATTCTTGAAACCAAAAGGATGGCGGCGAACACGTGCGTGGGGCATTGTAACGTCCCTGTACAGTAGCTGGCACTATTAGCCCGGTGCGACGCACATTAACAAACGTGCGCCGCGTTTTTAGCCTTTTTACGGCTACCTTTCCACCTAAAACGGCCCCTCCTCTTCCTTGCTTCCTCCTCACCTTTCCCCACCTCCTCCCACATCGAAGCACCCTCCATTCGCCGGAAAACGATGACCATTCGACTTTGCAAACCTCCATCTTTGCAGCCATTCTCGATCGTCTCACTCATTGGAAATTCATCAAACCATTCATTTGACCTCATTCTTCCCTCTTCAAAATCCACCCCCATGTTAGCTTCCCTCACTCACCGTTTGTCATCCACTGGCCTTTCTTTTTTGTTCAGTTTGTGGGGCTTTTGTCAAGCACCTGGTATGCGTTTGGGGGAGGAAAGCTACTTGATTAAGTTGGGAATGGCAGAAATTCCAGAAATTTACATCAATAAATCCCAATCAATCTAAATTTCTCAAAACTACAAACAATCAATTATCAATATTCCCCTAGGTCTCAAATCTACCAATCAAAGAAACTCCACAATCAAACATACCAAACTTCTCCAAACTTGCGGGGGGACGGCGACGGCGGTGATGGGGGGTGGAATTTGCGGGAAGAGGGCGAGGTTTTGGTGCTTGATGGACAGGGGTGCTGTGGGTGATGTTAGGGAAGGTCGCCGGCTCCGGGAAACGGCCAAATTTTCCTGAAAAACTGGGGTTTAAAAAATAATTTTTAATTTATTCTTTAAGGGTATTTTGGTAATAACAGTATCTATAGTTTAAGAGTAGTAATCTTAAATGAATGAAACCAGGGGTGGGAACCTTGAATTTAACTAAACTTTGGGTGAGTTTTTACATTCATTTTACTGTTTAAATTCAAAGAAAGAAATAGAGAATATGGAAGAAAATATCTTAGGAATTAAAAACCGAGAGAACACGACGACTTTTTAATAAAAAATATTGATCCAACAGTTATTACACCGTTCAAGGGGTTTCCTTTTTTCTCAAAGGCTTTTTCCGTTCTCTTATTAAAAAAGACTTTGTGGACGACACATTCAACTTTTAATTATCACCCATGGATGTTTAACCAAGAATATAGGCCACTGCCAGTGGCTAAATGCCAATAAGTTAGGTGCAGTATATGATGGTGGAAGCTGACATTTTGCTGTCTTTCTGTCTAGTCGTAGACTCGTACTGCTCTCTTTTGTGAATTTTGAATAACTTTAACCAAAATACACTATTTGAAAAGCTTTTAAACTACCGAAGATGATTTTTTGGCGTTTAATTATAACAAGTATTGGCCTTGGCTATGTCATTGAAGTCAAATCAAAGTTTAAATTAAGTCAAATGTAAATTAATTAAGCAACTGTTATACTACAAATCCAAAAGGCATGAGATCTTTACACGTGTCCTATAACCATACAAATAGTTGGACCACATGTTTAACCAAGAAACATGGGTTGCGTTTGTTTCAGTTTTGGGAATACTACTTTTAGTATTCTCAAAAAAGTTAAACAGTAAAATACTAAAAAATTCAGATTTTTTGGAATACTACTCCCAATATTATTCAACTTTTTTTAAACCCCTTAAATTTGATAATTTAATTAAATACCCCTAAATATTTTTTTAAATTACAAAAAAACCCCAACAATCCACATTTACCAGATTCTGGCCACCACCACCGAAAAATGGCCGGAATCTGGTAGGATGGCATACCAGCCGGTCTAGCCTTTTCCGGCCAGATCCACGGCCAAAGATCTGGCCGTTGACGGCCAGATCTTTGGCCGTAACACTCGGTCACGACGACCAACAAACGGTCGTCGTTGACCATCAACGACGACCGTTTGTTGGCCGTCGTTGAGAGCAAATACGGCCAGATCTGGCCGTTGACGGCCAGATCTGACCGTAGATCTGGCCTTTTCCGGCCAGATCCACCGTGGATTTGGCCGGAAAAGGCCATAGCGACGCATGACCGGCAAGATCCAACCGGTCATGCGCCCATAAGGCGACTCCGGCCACCTCCAGTGGTGGTCGCTGGCAGGGGGTGTTTGGGGGTGGGTTAGGGGTATTTTTGTTAACTTTTAATGTTTTATTATAGGGGGTATTTTGTAAAAAAAATAAACATAAAGGGTATTTTATTAATTTATAAATTCTACATCGTAATACCCGCCTAATTCAACTTTTTTTTAACTTTTTTCAAAAAACTTTCCCAAAACCCCCAAATTTTGAACCAAACGGAGCCATGGTTTTCCTTCTAAGATTGTCATAAGGCTACTTCAACAGTAAAATTCATGATGGCTTCCTTCGTCCGACAACTTCAAAAGTAAGGCTTATTGTTGAATGACTACCCAATACGTATGGCAACTTATAAGAACACTATTAAGTCTCTAATT